TAGTATTATTACGTTAGTACTTGAGAGCATATACTAATACTACTTAATAGATAAGACATACACAGATAATCATAACATCCAGAAAAAAAAAGAGAAAAAAGTGAATTCTATATAAATATTTTAAATTTAATATAAGCTTATTTTCCACTCCCGGGGTAACACAAAACAATCAGAATTGCAGTTTCACTGATATAAAAGGAAAAAACGTGATCTTTCCTGCATTTTTCCACTATCTAGTTACGTGCTAAAATTTTCTGATCACGTTTTTAAATTGAATTATTTTAAAACTTTGTATAAAAAAAATCCAGAGTTTGGATCAACTGCGGTTTACTGCGGTTTTGAAATTTGGGTGTGGAATTTATTATTTGTTATCGATGTGATATATTATCTTCTTCTGACTCTAAAATCTTCTCTGTTAGCTTGTCTCCAAAAATTTATATTACGTATCCTATGTTGTCTTCCATCTCTTACAGGACAGAAACGATTCATTGCGTCATTATTGTCTTCATTTCTTAGGTAGTTATTTAAACATGCTGCGTGAAATATATGATTGTATTGACATACTGAATATACACCATTTAAATTGTCAAGATTAAAATTACGATTGCATATAGGACATTCGTATTGAATATTTTGTTGTTGATTTTCTGGATTTTCTTCTGGGTCTTCTCTTATTCTTTCAGGTTGTCTTTGTATTTGTCCTGGTATTTGTTCTATTGGTGGTTCTTCTCGTCGTATGTTTTGTATAATATTAGGGTAAAAGAGTGGTTTTGAACCGAAATAACCACTTCGATCTAAATTCATACGAAGGAATAATTCGTAGATTAATTCATTCTCAAAATTGTTTTGATTATTGATATAATTTAGTATTACGTATTTTATAAAAAATAAAAAAATAAATATTAATAACGGTAATGATTTTGTTATTTTTTTCATTTTAAGATTATTTAGATTAATTTTATTATATATTTATATTTTATTTTATAAATTACTTAATAATATTAATTTTATAAATGAATCAAATTAGAGTTAAATGATATAAAAATGTTTTCAAAAAAACAATATAAAGTTAAACATGCATTAATTACTGTTACTCTTTGTAAGTGTTGTTCAGAAAGATTTAGATGTAAAGAAACTATAGCAAAGGATGGATTACCATGTAAAAGATGTGAAAAGAATCATGTTCATTGTAGAAATTCATGTCAAAAATGTTGTAAACGATCTCAATGTAATGATTTAACGTGTTCAAATTGTGTTGAAGATGGAATTGAGTGTGAAAGAACAATGATTACAACACACGAACAATTTAAAAAAGTTAACGAACAGGGCGTTAAATATTTTTCTGGACAATATGAAAGAGGTGAAACTGGACGATTTCATGAGCAGTGTTATATTCAATTAAATTCATGGATGAACTTTAAACGGATTAAGAAGGTTTTTGGAAATATGAATATAAATATAATGAATAATTTTTATGGAGGTGATAGAAGTGCTGTTGATATGCGAAATTACTCAATAAAGAAATATAAAAGATGTTCAATTCATCGAGAATGTCGATGTGATTATTCTAATTTAGATATTTGTTGTGATAAATGTGATGATTCTTGCAAGGAATTTCGTGAATTATTAATTGTTTATGATGAATTAGAAAATGAATTAACTTTAGAGCAAAAAGGTCCATTTATTTTTGGAGAATTTAAAGAAAGAATAGGTAATGAAAAAGTGAAAATTGATGGAAAAGATCAAGGTGGATTTGAAAAAGCTGTAAATACTATACTTGATCAATCAAAAGGTTATGAATTTATTAATATTTTTAAACGAGATCCAAAAGTAACAAAACATATTATGC